AACAAGAGCGAAACACAGACAAAAAAAAAAAAAAAAAAAAAAAAAAATTCTCAAGAACTTCAAGTTTTACCTTCAAGTCATTCTTCAGAATATACTGGATATCTTGAAGGTTCATAGTTCGGTCTTTCTGCTTGACGTGGATGCCTGACTTTACAATATCATAGTAAGGTTTTGGAAGCCTGACGTCAGCTTCTAAATAATTCCCCAAGACTATGGCTTCTTTAATAACTGAGCCATTTAAGCCACTCCAGGGTATGTCATCTGTAAGGAAAAAGTCACAGAAAGGAGTAACATTAGGAAACCACGGAATAGAGTGGGGGAAAAGAAATCAGATGAAGCTGAGTATCCTTAGGCAAAACACTTAACTCCTTTACTTTTTTTTCCAACCCACTGTACCTTAGAAACAATTAACTCATTTATATTTTAATTTCTCTCTATAGAAAAACTACCTGGAAGGCCAAAAAATTCCAGTGATAAGTGAGAAGCCACTTTACCCATTTACCAGGGAAATCCCTGCCACAGAGATAGGAAACAGTAGTGTCAGCAACATGTACACATGGGCTCCCTGCTGGCAGGGGAGCCCAATATTCATCTTACATATGCCACTGTTTTGCCTCTGGGACCATAAATACCATGAAAAAGCAGCCCTTGGCCGAGCACGGTGGCTCACACCTCTAATCCTAGTACTTTGGGAGGCCGAGGCAGATGAATCACCTGAGGTCGGGAGTTCGAGACCAGCTTGGCCAACATGGTGAAATCCCATCTCTACTAAAAATACAAAAATTAGCCCAGTGTGGTGGTGGGCACCTGTAATCTCAGCTACTCTGGAGGCTGAGGCAGGAGAATTGCCTGAACCCAGGAGACAGAGGTTGCAGTGAACCGAGATTGGACCACCACTCTCCGGAGAGGCTAGGCAAAAGAGTGAGACTCCATCTCAAAAAAAATAGCCCTTTATGAATGTGATTTTACTCTGTGTGTGTGTGTGTGTGTGTGTGTGTGTGTGTGTGTCTTTTCCTTGAAGGATTCCTTCCATCTTCAGATGTGACTACTTTCTTCACATCAGAGCTATGGGATTGGAAGGACATCCATTTCTTTCAAATGACACTGTTGATACAACTACTGGACCCTGGGTGTGTTTAATTTCACAGTTTACTTCTCAGAGGCTAGTCTTTCCCCCTAATTTACAAGTTTTCAAGGGATACCTAACATAGATCCTAAGTATTGATACCAATATTCAGATTAAAAATTTTGCTTGGACTAAATGAATTATCACTGACAAGCAGATGGGTGGGCTTTGCTAAGTTTTTTTTTTTTTGGAAGCAGTGGCATGACCTCAGCTCACTGCAACCTCTGCCTCCCAGGTTCAAGAGATTCTCCTGCCTCAGCCTCCTGAGTAGCTGGGCCTACAGGTGCATG